AGAATCATAATTTCAGAGGACCATGGAAACTTGCTATGTACACAAAACATTTGAAGGAGCCATTTATTAAAAATTACAGTATTTTCCCTGCAGAATGGATGAGCTATTCTTGGTTAGGACTAGGTCCAATATTTCTGAAATATTCAGAAATGATTAATTATGTTTCATTTACAAATGGATTCTAATGGGAAACTTTTATTTCAAAGGTGGTTTTAATGAATTGCCTGTCTCTATGAATTCATGTTCATAGAGAATCATTTATTTTTCCTCCCTTGCACAGACGTTACATCTGAGCTTTCAGTGCCTATCGTGTCTCTCCTATTTCTTCTGTCTCATTCCTGTGGTCATTCCCTTTTTGCCTATGCTAGAAACCTTGGGCATCTCTCCCTCCTTCCCTCACAGCTCATTTCCAATCATTCAAATACTTGATTGATGTCTTGTCTGCAGAATAAAAGCCTAATATTAATATCATGCATAGAGATATTTACAGGATCTATCAGTATAATGCTCCTGTTTCCCTCCAAGTTAGTCATGCCAGCTCTCACTATGAGATACTCCTCTGTCTACTCTGTGTTTCAGCTCTTTCATATTTGTTTGTTCATTATACCCTTAATTTTGTATGAAGTCCTTACTTGTTTAGAAGCCAGCTCAAGCACCCACTAATCCCTATAACTTCTAGAGACCCCACTTCCTTCCACTTAGGCAGAATCAGAAATGAGACAGAATGCTCTTCCCGAATTTATCTTCTTCCTGAAGCACAAGCCGGCATCTGGTTTGTCTTCATCTATTTCTGCATCTAATTTGTGCACGGTTCAGTCAGATTACTTTAACTCTCATAATTTATTTTTTCTGTCTACTGTGTACACCATGTAAATTAAACATAGAGTAACTAATGAAAGTTGTATAACTAAATTGAAAACTCCTCCAAACATAAGATGCAAAGCATGACTGTGTCGGTGGGTATTCAGCGAGGAAAGCAGAATTTGGCCAGTGATCGTGAAAAAGCAGATGTGAGGGTGGTGAAGAAGGTCCTGCCATGGATCAGGCACAGACCTGATGAAGCATCCTTACAGTGATACAGCAGATTAAAGCCTATAGTAAATGAAAAACTTCTTTTAAATATATACATAACACACTTTTACCCCATTACACTCTCTTTTCACTCTGTAGTTTTACATTTCTGTACCAGGAGTCCTTTGACCCCTGTAAGCAGAGTAAATAAGTCCTCTGTGTCTGTATTAAAGTGTGTGCATGAATAAATGGATGAATAAGAGCTATGCTATTTCATGGAGTTTAAAGGAATCCTTCCAACCCTAGAAAGTACACATTGTGTCATTTCGAAGCAGACCTTGCTTCTTTCCAATGAAGCATCTCATTTCAGCTGCAGAATCTTTTATGATCAAGCAAATTACAGCTTAGACTCAATATACAACTGTGTGATTCTAGCTAGTTGGAAGACTGAGGCAGGAGAATCATAAATTCAATGCCTGCAATGTGTTGTGATGTGAGTTCAAGGCCAGCTTGGATATCAATTTACAGGTAGTTATCTCTAAAATAAAAACAAAACAGTGAAAGTGATATAGCTAATTGGTACAACATGGGAAGGTCCTTGAGTGCAAAATCTGTGTGGAATTAAAAAAGAAAGGTGAGAAAGAAAAGTGGAAACCAATTTGTTAGATAGCTTGAAGCTTAGATCTTACCATTGCTCAAGTAGATGCCAACTTTATTGCTCTTATGATGTATCTGATATGCTCTGTTTGTTCTTTCACCTGCTGGCATGGTATCCACAGGCAGAGACATGGTTGATTATTGGTGTTGGTGACTCAAAAAGCCCTCATTTGTATAATTTATTTTCATCAAGATGCTAGCAGTTAAATGAGTGTTAAAAGCTGTGTTCTAATGACAAGATCACCAGACATAGAAGCTGAAGAGCAGAGTTCAGTTACTAATCTGGGCACCTTGCATTGAAAGAATTCTTTTCAAAACTTAGATATCTTATTTATAGAGCAAGGCATATAATCTCAGCCTACTGGATTTGTGTGGTAAATAGGTGAATAATGACTGCAGAATCATTTTCCCTATGAAAGTAAAGTAACACTAAATTTATGTAAGAATGAAAATATATAAAAAGGGGGATCTTTCCCAGCTGCACAGTCATTCCTTTTTGTGTTCTTCATTTCTATCTGTCAATTTGCATCTACCTGAACTTTAATTTTATTTAACAGATAAAAATAGGACAAATGAACATTTCCTCATTGATGTAATTTATATAGAGTACAGCATATTTAAACAAAACATGTTTCCACTTCTTTTGCATTTATAACTCAATTTAACTTGGTAGTATAAGAATTACAGAAAGACATTAGGGTTTTGTCTTGAGCTTTTATCTCCATAAGAAAAATCAAAACAATCTCAGAACAGAGAAAATGCGAAAACTAACAGCGCTATACAGACACAAGTAACCTTGATGGGGGAAGAAAGAAGAAAAGCCTTACCAGCTTGCTTTGTTAATAATTGAGTACACGACTTAAAAGATTCTGTATTAGCATCAACTATATTTGGATACATTCATAATGAAACTAACCAGAAAATAATTTTCATTGCTTAGTTTTGCCTCAAATAAGGTGCAAAAAGTGTCATTTGGGGAGGGAGGTGATAATTTAATCCCTGCATACTCCTGTTACTGAAAAGTACTTTATGGCCAATTATCAGGATTTATTCTTCTTGTTTCTGTTTTATATAAAATATTTTATTTAGGTTGAATACATTATGTACTTATTTTCAGATTGAGTACATTGAGGCATTCAAAAGAAGAAGATTAAATACGCTTCATATTTTTTTCATAATAGCTTGAAAATCTCTGATGGTTATATACTGGATAGACCAGGGAACTTCAATGTAAATAGGACCTTCCAAGAGATAATCTTTGTTTATAATCTTTATCATTAAGTTTGGGAAAGATAACTGGATGTCTGATATTTGTTCAGAGAATAAAGATGAGATCAACATGGACTCTTTTCATAAGCATCCTTTTTACTGTCCCTTATCAGAACACAGTCCATCTGATCACATATTGCTTAAGTTCCTGTTAACAAATGATATCAGTAAAAGTAAGGCTTGCTCAACATTTCTCCTAGCTCTTTTGTTGTAGATCTCACTGAATGATGAAACATATCTGGGAGAGTAACAATAAATCAGATGATAAAGATCTCAATAGCCTGGAACAACTTGCTAAATCTAACTAAAGTGAATTTTACAGAGATAGATGCAAAGTCAGCACTTAAAGTTACAAAAGAAAAGTGCAAAAACACATGAAGCGGGACATATGGCTTAACTGTACAACGGTTTTTCTCATTGTTTTATTTTCCAAAAGTAATTGTTAAAAAAACAACAACCAACCAAACAACCAACCAAACAATAAACCTTGAATGTTCTATGAAGTTGCTGCTGTCTTCTTTCCTAGATCAACCACATTTTACACTTAATAAACATGTACACAGAGAAATTGAGGTCTAAATTGTATCTACATTGAAAATAGGTATAGTCACTGATAAACTGATATAGAAACAGATAAAATAGAATAAAAAATTGTAACTATCAACTTTGGACACTGGTGGTTTGAATGAAAATGGTTCCCAGAGGCTCAGCGGAAGTGGCACTATTTGAAAGGATTAGGAGGTATGCCCTTGTTGGAGTATGTGTGATCTTGCTGAAGGAAGTGTCTCACTGAGGGAGGGCTTTAAAGTTTCAAATGTCTAGCCAGGACAAGTGTTTCTCTCTCTTCCTACTGCCTGCTGATCCAGATGTAGAACTCACAGCTCCTTCCCAGAACCGTGTCTGTCTGTGTGCCAGCATGCTTCCCATGTGATGATAATGAACTAAATCTCAGAATCTGGGAGCTAGCCCCAATTAAATATTTTTCTTAATAAGAGTTGCTGTGGTAAGGGTATTTCTTTCTACCAATAAAATCTCCTACCTAAGACAGACACTAATGAAATTGGATTGTCTCAATAGAGAACTATATTTGTCATATGTATGAGATCATATGTACAAGAAGATCATAGGCAATATAACAAAATAGGCTTAATTTATTTATAACCAGAGCAAAGCTGGTATATGATGTCTGTTGATACAGAGTTGATTGACTACTGGTATCATGATACTTCACCTGATAAAAATTACTAAGAAATGTAACCTCAAGTTCTTGATGTATCATAGAGGACTGAAATCAAAGCATACTAAGTGGAATGAAGATACCACAGTACTTGGCATGTGGGAGATGGTCAGCAGTGAAGATCATTCATGGTCCTGGCAACAGAACTCATGTTCTCTGGAAGAATAGCAAGCATCCATCACCACTGAACAATGTGTCCCGTCTAATGGAATGATTATTGCTACAGTTGGATAAGCTCGTATGTTTAAGCCTTTGTCTTAGCTAGTGGTACTTTTGAGATGGGGTTAGGTTATGAGGACATAGACATCATAAATGGATTAATCTACTGAGTTCCTGCCAGGTGGACCATTAGCATGCATGTCTGAGTAGAGGAAGTAAGTTACTGGATATGTGCTTCTGAAGCTGTACTTCGATGCCTTTGTTGTCACCTGTTTCCTGTATGTCACCAAGTAGGCAGCTTTGTTCTTCTCTGATCTTTCTCAAAAGCAAGCTCTCTCATGATTAGCCCAGAAACAGCACAGCCAATTGTGTACTAAAACATTCAAAGCGTGGGATGAAATAAAATATGTTTTCTTTTAAGTTGTTTCTCTCAAATATTTTTGTTGCAACAAGAGGACACGGTTGGCAGGTGTGTATTAAGAATATTAAGGTGTGTATTAAGTATATTAAGCATCTGTCATGCCTTCAAGTTTTTAAGTGTGTGTGTTTGACCACTAGAATATGAGTAAAGATTGTTGTTTTTAATTAGTTAATTGCTTGTGTAACATATTGTCTCAAAAAGCGGCAAAAATTTCATATATGAAGTGAGATAGTGTTTCTTACTTACCTGTAAAGTGCAGACAGGGGCCTCTTACTTCCAGGCTTTGGTCTGTATGGTTTGGGTTCCCCTGCCATGTTGATATCTGAAAATATAAAATACCATTATTTAAAGTGGCTATTGATAAACAATTTGGAAGCATTATACCTTGGATCTTATTTACTTATGTAAATCCTTTAAAATTTTTATTTATCAATTAATTTATATCATGTGTCTAATGTGATGTTTTGTAGGTGGTACTTGTACTTGTAAGTCTGCACATGAGAACACACACAGGAATACAGGTGTGAACGTACATAGAAACTCCAGATCTACATCTGGTGTTTTCCCTTGATTTCACTTTTATATTTTGAGGCAGGATCTCCTAATGAAAATGAAGAGCATCAGTTAGGCAAGGCTTTCTGGCTAATCTTATTACATGTAAGAGTATCTCACTGAACACAATTTTCATGAACTGTGTCTCTACCTCTACATTCATGCTGGAATTATGTCTACCTCCCCAAGTCTCTTTATGTAGATTTGATGGATTCGAACTCATGTTCATGTTTGTGTGGTAGCTAAAAATTTTCTTCATTCTTTCTTACACACATCTTGTATATTAGTTACTTTAAAAAATATATGGAAACTCCCTTACATGAGACATTTTGTGAGATTTCTCTTACATACATAAAGGTTAGATTCTTGTGCTTCTGGATTTTACACCCTACTAGGAAAATATAGACACAAAGAATGAATTACATATATGTCATGGTAGAATATGATTGTTGTGGAAAAAGTATAAAAAATGAAATAAGAATCAAGATGTATGAAAACAAAAATAATGAGAAACCATCTGATTTTTAGGTTCTTACAGACTTCTCAGCAATCATACATATACATATGGGATACTGCTTTGTTCCTAAAAAGAAGTTATTAATTTCTAGCATTATAATATTATAATGCATGCAACATTTATTGAGAAAACATAAAATAATAACATGAAATTTTAATGAATGTATCTCCTGGGCAGTCACATCCTGACTTCATGAACTGGAAATGAGATCAAGAGTCTGAGATTTACGGGATTCGGGAGGATATAACAGCCTATGCATACAGTTGCCAACTGTGAGCCTAAAAGAAATGTTAAAATTTTAAGAAATTAGGAATTTGGGCTTTAGAGACAGTTTTCTGTAGCTCAGGTTGTCTTCACCTTCTTGGTACCCTACCTATATCGGTCTCCAGCATTTCCTATATTGTATTACTGTAATAGATATTTTAACGAATAGTATTACAACAATTTCCCACTTAAAAGACTGATTATAAAATTGAATCCTTACTTTCCACTATGATAAAACTATTTTTTAAATATTAAAGGTAAATTATGTAAAAATTTAAGAGGTTTAGAAATGAGAAGGTATTTGTTAGCTCAGAATATACAATTATGTTCTTAAACAAGACATAAAAATCATTGGCCTTAAAATATAACATATATAAATTCTATCACATTAAGTTAGCATTTCTTCTCACAGAAAGTCACATGAAGACAGCAAAAAAAAGTCCCTGACAAAGAATTTGTGTCAATATATGAATATGTCTTTTCATCACAAGAAAACTGAGTTACAGCATCAAAAATAAACTTAGCCAATACATAAAGAACTAGCAACTCCACTTTATAGGTGAAGATGTGATAGATAAATGTGGTGGTTTAAATATGGTTGGCCCAGAGAGTAGCACTGTTTGGAGGTGTGGCCTTGTGGGCATAGATATGGCCTTGTTGGAAGAAATGTGTCACTGTGGATGTGGGCTTTAAAACTTTTGCCCTAGCTGCCTGGAAGCCAGTTTTCTGTCTGCATTTGGATGCACCATGTCTGCCTGGATGCTGCCATGCTCCTGCCTTGATGATGATGGAATGAATCTCTGAACTGTCAGATAGCTCCAATCAAGTGTTGTCCTTTTAAGAGTTGCCTTGGTCATAGTGTCTGTTCACAGCAGTAAAACAATAAACAAGACAATACACAAATGAAAATTTCTCATTTTCATCAGTAAAAAGAAATCTAAGTTAAACCAATCTAAATATTGTAATGCATCTGGAATGCAATACACTGTGTGTATAAGTATAAATTAGTGCATCTACTATGGAAATATTTTTCCAGTATTAAATAAAGAATAATTTTTAAAATTAAATCATGTGTGAGAACTGTGCTCCTGAAGAAACTACTGCATATGCATAATATATGACTTGGGAAACAGTGTTCAATGAGATACACTAACAGATAAGATAAATATCTTATCTAAAGTCATAATCTATGTCAGAAAAATAAAGAGGAATCAGGAGAAAACTAGAGTTATAGGCAAAATCATGGTTCTGTTAATGATCCCTATAATCGTAGCAATGAACAAAATTAATGTCACATGAAGAACTTTGATATTAAACCATAGGGCATGATAAAATATAGACTAACATCACAGTATTATTATTAGTAACAATCATTTTGTATACTTTATGTTAGGTGAATAACAAATAATTAAAAAGAAGATAAGATAACAGCATAAATATACATGTAGTTACAGACCCACTTCAGAATTATCAAGGTGTGACGAACAAGGGGATTTGACAAAGACAGGGAGCTGATGTAAAAGTAGACGATTGGAGAGAAAAGTATATTTGGGGTGGATTATTGAGAATGAGAAAACCATTAAAAGCTCCAGTTAAAACTTCAGATTTGTTTACATGATATATATATATATATATGTATCTGTCTGTGTTAGTAAACAATCAATCAAATAGGCAGTGACTCTTTTGTGATTTAGAATTAGATACAGTGAGTACTGAGGCTATTTACACTTTTTCATATGTGATATGAAAAAATATAAAGCTAGAAAAATTGTAAGTGAAGATTTTGACAATGGAAGAGGCTACTTGTCTGTGAAAATATAACATTTATTATTTCTTTGTGCTTTCAATATTATGACTTACAAAATAAAAGTGTGAAATTTTCCTTATATGTAAACAAAAATATGAGAAAAGACTGTCAATGAAAAATATTGTCAGCATCCTCAATTTTTTTTATAATATGCCATCAGTGGTTGTAAAAATAGTTGACAACTTGTTAAAGCTAGAGAAAGCCTTTCCAGACAGGCTGCTAAATCTGTATTTTCAGAATATTAGCTTCCCATCAAAGGTATTAAAAATGGACCAGTGAGACTGGAGAGTTGGCTCTGAGTAGTTGTGATTTTTGCAGAGGTCTCAGGTTTGATTCCTAGAGCTCACATGGAATCTCATAATCATCTGTAACTTCAGCCATCAGGGATCTGATGCCCTTTTCTGATTTCCATGGGCCTAAAGTAAGCATTTAATATGCATACAATATGTCTGCAAAGCACCCATATTCATAAGATAATAAAATAATATCTTTAAATATTAAAAGATTGCATATGAGTCTTTAGTTTCTTCTCAGTTCAGACTAGTGCTTAAATGTAAAATTCTTCTATGAGCACATAAATTTATACTTAAATATGCAAATGTGTGTGTGTGTTTGCAGTGTTCTTTTGACCCCCATCCAAAGTCTGAGTTTATTAGACAGAGAATAGCATCTCAACTAATCATTATGGTAGAAGAACAAATGGAGGGTCTGGAAAACCCCCAAGTTTATAAGGATCTCATAGCTGGGGAACAGAGTAGTGTAGGGGTATATGCCCAACCAAGGCTTACAGATTATATTCATAATTACTGAGTCACTTTTCATTGAACGGTCCTGATTGGGTTGGAGATTTAAATGTCTCTCAGAACAGTAGAGGATGAACAATCCATTCCACTCTTGAAATAATCTATATAGTTAAAAGATTAAACGATATCATAAGAACAGCTAAGCTTTCTGAGAGACCAGAGCTCACATTATTATGTATTAAGAGCTATTGTCCTAAAAGGGCCATACAGAAGGGCAAATGGCACCTTAGTATTGTTGCAGAGACATCCTGTTTGCCCTGGCAATGTACAACTTACACAAAGGCAGGGTGAGTGAAAGACTAATTAAACTGCAATTTCTATCCACTCTGCTAAGCAAAGGACTTTGGAGTAAAATATCTAAACAGAGAAAATATAAAAGTTCATTTGTAGGCTCCTGAGTTGAAGTTTCTTCCTTCTAATATTTAGAGTGGTTCCCAGCATGTCAGCCATCTTAATACTTAGACACTGTCATGTACAGAGTTCATGTTTTAGAGCCAGACATTTGAGTCCAACATTCACTTTTATTTAAAAAATCAAACCACATGAAATGTTTGCTCGACTTTGTGATTTTGTGTTAGACTGCATTTGTTATGAGTACTTTTTGAACGAGCTGTGTGTTAAATGATTATCAACAAATTGCTTTGGTATATCCTCCAATCCCCAATTCGTCATTCTAGTCATTGAGTATAAATACATAAATAATAATTACTGGGTGGCATAGCCTGATTTCTAGTTACTGAAATTATATTCTCTTGAAAAGTATTAGTAAAATCAGGTAACCTTATGTATGTGTTGATGAAGCCAGTGTGGATGCATATCACTCTTGTTGATATCATCTCGCTCCATCACTCACAACCATAGAGAAAGAAGAAGCAGAAGACAGCTTGAGCTTTGAGGCTTGAATCATGTTTTGATGCTGCAACTACATATGTTGCCACATTAATTGGTCAATTTTTTTTTTTTTTTGGTTTTTCGAGATAGGGTTTCTCTGTGAAGCCCTGGCTGTCCTGGAACTCATTCTGTAGACCAGGCTGGCCTCGAACTCAGAAATGCGCCTCCCTCTGCCTCCCAAGTGCTCGGATTAAAGGCGTGCGCCACCACAGCCCGGCAATTGGTCAATTTAAAATAGGTTAGAAAGAGCTATATTTTACATTATACTGGATAACTGCCTACCTATTAATGGATAAAACCCTGAAAAAAATAGAAGGAAACATATTCACTCATGCTTAACTCAAATGTTCTAGGATCTAGAATATTTTGAACAGCATTCTTATTGACACTTGGTATTACATACCTCTCTCACATCCCTGGTTTGTAAGATATCTTGACAAATTTAGATTTATTTACTTGACAAGAACTCAATTTGAAATATCTTGATT